GGCTGGAAGAGACCTCAGGAGTCATCAAGTCCAGCCCCCTGCCCAAGGCAGGACCAACCCCAACTCAATCAACCCAGCCAGGGCTTTGTCAAGCTGAGACTTAAACACCTCTAGGGATGGAGACTCCACCCCCTCCCTAGGGAACCCATCCCAGCGCTTCCCCACCCTCCTAGGGAAACAATTTTTCCTAATATCCAACCTAGACCTCCCCCACTGCAACTTGAGCCCATTGCTCCTTGTTCTGCCATCTGTCACCACTGAGAACAGCCTCTCTCCAGCCTCTTTGGAACCTCCCTTCAGGAAGTTGAAGGCTGCTCTCAAATCCCCCCTCACTCTTCTTAACCCAAATCCCTCAGTCTCTCCTCATGGGTCATGCGCTCCAGCCCCTTCATCATTTTGGTTGCCCTCCGCTGGACCCTCTCCAATGCATCCACCTCCTTTCTGTAGTGGGGGGCCCAGACCTGGACACAACACTCAGATGTGGCCTCATCAGAGCCGAATAAAGGGGAATAATCACTTCTCTGGATCTGCTGGCAATGCTCCTCCTAATGCACCCTAATATGCCATTAGCCTTCTTGGCTACAAGGGCCCCCTGTTGACTCATATCCAGCTTCTCATTCACTGTAACCCCCAGGTCTTCTTCTGCAGAACTGCTACTTATCGCCTTCCTGATAACCCCCCTGCATTCTTGAGCTATTTATTTATCCTCCTCCCTACTCATCTGTCCAAGTTTCCACTTCTTGAAAGCTTCCTTTTTGAGTTTAAGCTCACCAAGGATTTCCCCAGTAAGCCAATCTGATCGCCTACCACATCTGCTTTTCTTGCTGCGCATCGGGATGGTTTCTTCCTGTGTCTTTAAAAGGCTTCTTTAAAATACTCTTCTCTGAGGGAGTCAAAGTCCGCTCTTCTGAAATCCAAGGTGTGTATTTTGCTACTCTCCTTTCTTCCTTTGGTCAGGATCCTGAAATCGACCATCTCATGATCACTGCTTCCCAGGCTGTCACCCACCTCTACTTCCCCTACTAGTTCCTCCCTCTTTTTGAGCAGCAGGTTAAGCTGCACCGGCCTCTGGTCGGATCCTTCAGCACTTGTACCAAGAAGTTATCCCCAACAGTCTCCAAAAACTTCCTGGAATGTCTGCGTCCTGCTGTATTTATTGGTTTCCCAACAGATGTCAGGGTGATTAAAGTCCCCGATGAGAACCAGGGTCTGTGTTCTCTCAGTTGTCCGAAGAAAGCCTCGTCTACCTCATCCACCTGATCCGGTGGTCTACAGCAGACACCAACCACAACATCACCCCTGTTGCTTTCACTTCTCAACTTAATCCATAGATTCTCTCCCTCTATGTACTGGAGCTCCGAGCAATCATACTGCTCTCTTACATACTATGCGACGCCTCCTCCTTTTCTCCCCCTCTTGTTCTTCCTGAACAGTTTATACCCTTCCATGACAGTGCTCCAGTCATGAGAGTCATCCCACCAAATCTCCGTTATTCCAATCAAATCATAGTTCTTTGGCTGGGCCAGGGCTTCTAATTCTTCCAGTTTGTTTCCCAGGCTTCTCACATTGTTGTACAAACACCTTAGATAACCAGTTGATTGCCCTACCTTCTTCATCCGAATCAGGGGTCCTCCTTTGTTGCTCATCCTCCTTGTGTTTCTTCCCGGTGTCTGACTTCCTCACTTACCACAGGGCTTCTTTGGTCACTGTCCCCCAACGAACCTAGTTTAAAGCCCTCCTCACTAGGTTGCAAGCCTGCCCACGAAAATGCTCTTTCCTCTCTTGGTTAGGTGGATCCCATCACTTCCTAACAATCCTTGTGCCAGGAACAAAGTCCCATGGTCGAAGAAACCAAAGCCCTCTCTGCGACACCACCTGCGCAACCACACATTTACTTCCTCAATTTGATGATCCCTAACTGGATCTTTTCCTCAACAGGGAGGATGGACGAGAACACCACTTGCGCTTCAAATTCCTTGAGCCTTTTTCCCAGCGCTACATAATCTGCTGTGACCTGCTCAAGGTCATTCTTGGCCGTATCGTTAGTTCCTACATGGAGAAGCAGGAAGGGGTAGGGATCCGAAGGTTTAATCACTTTCGGAAGATTCTCGGTCACATCCTGAATGCGAGCTCCTGGTAAGCCGCACACTTCTCAAGATTCCAGGTCTGGGCGGCAGATGGATGACTCAGTCCCTCTTAGGAGGGAGTCCCCGACCACCACCACCACCCGCCTTCTTCTCTTGGGGGTGGTGGTCATGGAACCCCCATCCCTAGGACTACGCATCCCATGCCTTCCGGTAGATGGTGTTCCCTTCTGATTTCTTCCCTGAGAGGTCCCTGTCAAAGCATTCTCCACCGCAGTGCCTGTGGAGAGAGCCTGAAAGCGGTTGGTTACTTACCGCTACATGAATGAGGGATATCTGAATTGGCCTTCTTCTTCTAGAGGTTACATGCTGCTAGTTTTCTTCCTTGTCCTGCACTGCCGTCACTGGCTCTTCAGCCTGCTGTCCCTGCAGGATTAAACGCTGCCTTCTATCGAGGAAGTCTTCATCCTCTCTGACAGAACGTAGGGTCAATATTTGGGCCTCAAGTCTTCTAATTTTTTCTTCCAAAAATGGCAACCAGCTTGCACTTAGTGCAGATGAAATCCCTTCTTTCTTCCGGGAGGAAGACAAACACAGCACATGCTGTGCAGGTAACAGCAGCAGAGCTATCACCATCCATACCTGCCTTCCTTCGGAGAGATTCCTCAGATGTTATTAAATGCCTCCTTGAAGGGCAGGAGTGTAGTGAAAAATTTTAAAGAATGGTGAGTGTGTCTCGCCCCCTTCCCAACTCCCTCTCAAAACTCCCTGTTAGCAGCCCCTGGTTGCTGACTCTCTCCTTTATAAAGCCCTGGACTGCCTGATAATCAGGGGGAGGGGCTAAGGCTCAACCAATGAGCAGAAGCTTCTAGATTTCAAACCCTGATTAGAAGCTCACAGCTTCCACCTGCCAGCTGTGAAGGGAGGGAGGGAAAAAAAACCCAAACAGCCAAACACAAGCTCAGCACACACACACACACACACACACACACACACACACACACACACACACACACACACACACACACACACACACACCCCCTCAAGGGTCTTGTATTAGCTTCCTCCTTCACCGGGAGAACTCCCTCTCCAAACTCCGTTTTCAGTTGCTGTTCGCAAGCTCCCTGGTTGCTGACTCACTCCTTTATAAAACCTCTAACCCAAATCTCTCTTGCTGCAGACCGACTCGCCCCACCTCCCGTGGGCACGGGGAACGGCTCGTCGCTTTGGAACAACCCTTCCCTGGGGCGAACGCCCTCAGCTCCACTCTCTGTCTTCTGTTCCCACGAGGCGACAGCCCAGGTTTAACCTTCCCGCCCCAGGGCAGGGTTTCGAAGCCTTTCGTCGCTGTTGTGCCTCTCTCTGGTCCGTCCACATCTTTCCTGAAGGGTGGCCCCAAGACCTGGACAGGGGGCTCTAGCCAGGGCCTCCCCCAGGCCCAGAAGGGCAGGACAGTCCCCTCCCATGGCTGACTTCTGACATGCCTGCCCACGCATCCCACATGGACAGTAGCATCTTTGGCAGCTGCGCCACACGGGGACTTCTACCTCAGGGCCTTGCCAGCAGCACCGACACCTCGCCAGTACCCCCGGCAGGATAAGGACACAAGAACGACCAGACCAAAGGTCCATCTAGCCCAGTGTCCTGTCCACCAACAGTGGCCAACACCAGGTGCACCAGAGGGAGAACACAACAGAGAATCATCCAGTGATCCCTCTCCTGTTATCCCTTTCCAGCTCCTGACAGAGGCTAGGACACCATTCCTATCCAGCCTAATAGCCATCGATGGACCTAATCTCCATGAATCTATCTAGCTCTTTTCTGAACCCTGTTAAAGTCCCAGTCTTCACAAAATCCCCTGGCAAGGAGTTCCACAGGTTGCTGGGCACTGCATGAAGAAAAACTTCCTTTTGTTTAAACCTGCTGCCTATTCATTACATTTGGTGACCCCTAATTCTTATGTTATGGGAATGAGTAAATGACTTTTCCTTATTCACTTTCTTTACACCAGTCATGATTTTATAGACCCCCTTAGTCTCAAAGATGAAAAGTCCCAGTCTTTTCAATCTCCCCTCATGTGGGACCCGTTCCAAACCCCTCCTCATTTGTGTTGCCTTTTTCTGAGCCTTTTCCAATGCCAAGAGCTGAGGCGACCACCTGCGCATGCAGCATTCGATCTGTGGGCCTCCCATGGCTTTATAGAGTGGTAATTGAATAATCTCGGTCTTATTCTCTGTCCCTGTCATCAAATGATTCCCGGCGCTGGGTTTGGGTACCGGGGGCCTAGCAGGGCCCCAGGGAGGAGAGAGCAGCATGGCAGGACTGGGCAGAGCAGAGCCGGGCTGCTTTGCCTCCCACCATGGTGAGTGTGGGAGGGGGGGGAGACAGACCCCTTCTGCCGCCCCACACCAGGCCCCATAATCCCCTGGCTCATGTTGCCAAGGGGAGAGGGCAAGGGGGCGGGGCTTGGGAAAGGGGCGGAGCAGGGAGGAATG